TTAATTTGCTAGCACTGCAAATTTGCTAAGGAGTGTTTACACTTTGCTCGTTCGACGCGAATAATTAAATGTCTCGTGGCGGAAGTGCATTCATCAAACTCGATGGAAATCGTTTCTGAAGATCGTATGGAATGCGGTGATACAAAACGTAGATATTTCTCTTGAGAAGGGTCGCGCGGAGCCCGTGGAATCCTCGCTAGATCACAGCTAGAATGTGCTCGTTTTCTGTCACGTATAAAACGGAAACTGACATACTATTACCCAGTGCATTCTATCATCTTCTCGATGTCAGAATAGCTGACGGTTTATATTTCATGAATAACTCCTACGTACGTCTCCCTATAGACGTAAGGCAATAAAGTTAAACGTTTAACGATGATTAAAAAAAAACTGTGATATACAATAGAGCCGATGGATATAAATAAGCACAACGTGAATATAATTATTAAATACATGCCAGTGTATTTATTTTAACATATCGACATTTATTATCTCTACCTTTTGATATAAGAATAAATTCGTGAAAGTGTTTCAACTATTTTCAAGCATTCGTTGTGAGAAAGCGATTTCGTTGGCAATCTTACATGTCGCGAAAATGTCACGTATTTGAGAATGCACGGCACGCGTACGGCATTCGGGAAACGCGAGCATGTAATCACACGGTTACCGGGCAAGCATCAACTCGTAAAATCTCGAACGATGGGATGACGCTGGGAATGGGGCGACGAGCAGAACGATCGGACACACGTATATGTGGTACGTGTGCATACGCGAGGAAGAGCAGAGGAGATGGATGAATCTGGTGCCGGGTCGACTGTGATGCACAAAGGGTAAAGTAACTTGATACACACAAGTCAAGACTTGATATGCAAAGCGCGTGTACGACCATGGCGCATATCCGCTGGCATGAAAATCCTACGACGACGACGACGACGACGACGTCAAGAATCGCGCGCCGGCTTGGAAACGTTACTCACAATGCCGGAAATCGCGTCGCTTAATAGCAATATTTTTTATGGCAAAGTAACAGGAGTCCCGAATACCTTTCGCGCGCACGTGCCGCATTTACTTACAATTGTAACAAGTTGGCGCACTGCACCAAAGAGTCAATTTACATTTTCGTAACGAATTCAGAGAAGTAAAAGGTGTTCCAAAGTGGAACTATGATTGAAGATTAGCATAACGATTGCAAATAGTCCTCATATTTATAATAGGTATATTCGAAACTTAGTAATAATACAGAACAAACAATTTTGCTGAAGTATCTATTTAAAAAATTTATCGTTTAATGTTATTTCTTGTGACTTGTTTCTTTTGAATTCGAGACGTGACGTGCATTTTGCAGCGTAAAGTTGGTCCCTCAACGTTTATTTGTTAGTAATTTTTTAATTGAAAATGTGTAATATCAGTAAAATCGACTTATTTCAGAATGTGCATACGAAAATATATCGAATGAGATTAGTTAAATCTAGATTGCTCGTGGTTGAGTGTGGCAAATTTTTTACTAGAAGCGTGCAAAAAAAATTCGAAATACGTATGCAAACGACTATAGCAATCGAACGTGCTATAGAAAGTTAATTTGTTCAGAAGTCAACTTCACACGAATAACTAAATTTTCATGAGAAAAACTTCTTAATAGTATAATAGTAATAGTAATAATTAAGTAATGTAACATATAAGTGTAATAAACATAATTTAAGCAATAGTAAATAATAATAAAAGTAATCATGTTTTTAGTTAGTGGTATGATATAAGTGGTATGATATAAGTATCTCCATTATTTGGATTTAGGACAGACCGGAAAAATCTAATTTAACTTTGCCTTGATCCAGGATTTCCGCACTTTTCTTGCTATCTCATAGTAACGTCGCACTTTATTGTGCATTATAATTGGCAAGCGTACATTGCGAAGCTACAATTAAGCCTTTACTCAGAGTAGTCAGTGGTTTGTGCGTTACTAAACCTGCTCATTAAAATTTTTAAGTCGACAACCGTAACAATTTTACAATCCTGTTTATATTCCGCACCACATCAAGATGTAAAATCGTGTTTTTTTTTTATCATAAAAGCTGCTTATTGCGACAGAAATAACCGAATAATAAATTATTTTTCACTTAGAATTGTTTTATTCGCACATAATATTCCACATTGAATGAAAAAAGAATTTATTAAATTTTAATAATTATTTGTTTGAATCAATTAATATATATTTATTATCAAAAATCATTAATTTGATTCATCATCTTTTTATAGAATAAAAATTTATTTAATGTGAATAAATGTTTAGTTAGTACTATTCAAACAAATATTTATCAAAATTAATTAAATTTTTTTCAATTATAAAGTTTCTGTAAACGTGTGTCAAACTAAAAAATTATAATTTTAATTTTTTTTAAATATTGTAAGTTGAATTTTTTCTTCAAAAACTAAATACGTAAAAATAAATACTCAAGTAATACATATTATAGAGAAACAGAGAGAGAGAGAGAGAGAGAGAGAGAGAGAGAAGGGAGGAGAGGAGAGGAGAGGAGAGAGAGATGTGATGGAGTGTAGTACATCCAAGCACGTTCTACGGGTCAATATGGCAGGTCGCTATCGTGACTATTATGTGAGAGGCCAAATCATTACGATGAACACGTACGTTGATGTGTGCGCTATTACGAAAATGATGCCACTGAATTCAAGCTGTGATCTATCAGAGAAATTTCATGAAACCATTTTAGTCAATTCTTAATAAAGTTATTGTGTTTGTATCGTTAAATATTGTGTACACGCTATTTCAATTTACTTCCTACAATTCCAAAGAAAGAATAGGTCTAAAGAAAATTGTTTTTTAAATGCAATCAATATCGAAAGAATTAAAAACTAAGAATATTCCTTTTATAAATTCAATGCCGCGCTGATTAAGACCGTCTGCCGGATGCGGAAAGAATCCAATGCGGAAGGAGAAAAAAAACTTTATGCGTAGCGCTGGAAATGGAGTAGAAAATCGAAGACAGTTGGAAAAGCATTTCCAATATCGGAGACGCCATAGGCATACGATAAAACGCAACGTCAGTAAACAAGATTGAGCGTGCCGGCGCTCATTTGAAAAGTAGCAAAAACTTCCATGAGTATTCTTCCAGTAGGAACGAGAAGACTAACTCGATTTGCCAAGGATCGGATAATGGTCTGAGCAATTTTTAAAATTACCTCCTAGTAATTCTCATAAGAAATAAGACAATCCACACGAACCTTGTTCTCAAGGGAGAACGACGGACGGGAGGAAATATAAGAACAATACTAGAACGAGAGTACCAAAATGAAAATCGAAATTTCAATTCAAGCATCGCTGTCGAATCGAGCTGCGCTAATCGGATCCTCGATAATAGCGGCAACGTGACCCGGATTTGAGACGTTTATATTTGAAAGTGAATCCGCAAACTCGCAGAGGCTATTATATTACAGGTACATAATTACGTTTAAACGCTATTCGACTGGTTTTACTTGGGCGGAATCGCCGTCAGATTCGATTGCGCTCATCAATTAATTCAGAGCGTAGTTAACTATAACGATTCGGAAGCTTGCGTGTGGCGTGCCATTACGATCGTTGTTAAAATGTCAGGCGCATTCAATCGCGGACAGAATTACGAGGACGCGCGCTATGAACTTCGTTCGATTGCAAATCAGTTTGACCACGAGTACATACGCGGTAGGGCCGGCTACTCGGAAATTATTTACGACGATCCAGCTATACATCTAAATTCTGATTTTCCATGAAAATTTTAGATCTGAGAATTCACAATTTATTGTATGCTCATAATAAATATTTAAACAATAAATTTTATTGTTTAAACTCTTATTATAGTTAATATAGTTTAATCAACAATAAATTTTGAATTCATAAATATTGAAGATGTAAACACTAAATATATTGTATTAAATTAATTATTACATTTAATTAAAATTATTACAGGTTCAGCAAATTTATTAAATAAAGGTTTTACAGCGAAAAAAATTACTTAACTTTAATATTCCTAATTTGCTGAGTTTGTAACTTTAATAATTTTAATTAAATATAATAATTACTTCAATACAATGTATTTACCATTTTTATTTACAACAGCTTTATTTTTGTTTCTCTCAGATCGATAAATAGACATTTCTGTAATTTCTCTGCATTTAGAATTGAATAGAATAAATTTTAAAAGTAATCATTAAATTTGCTTTTCATTTCATGTGAAAAGCGCCAGTTTCCATTAGTCGAATAGCATAAAAAAAGATATAAAAAGTATAAAAAAGTAAAAAAGATATTCAAGTAAAAAAGAAATCTCGTCAAAGTATAATCGTTTCATCAGTAAATGGTTATTTCACACAATGAAGGACATTGAGTGCCAGCTGTAATCAATCGAACGACAATTATTTCATGGTTAATGCCGGATGAACTCGAAAAAGCATATTATTAAACGAGAGAAGACCAGAAATATTCTGTAACAATTCTACTTTACATAGATATGTATATATATATATATATATATATATACATAGAACAGAATTGCGTTATAGATTCATATATGTATTTACATATTTTACATGTATCTATGGAAAACACAGAATTGAGTTATACATTCTCTATTTTCTTATCTCGATGAAAGAGATTAATAACTTTGTTTCTCAAGATTACATTTTACATATTCCATACTATCGTTTCTCCGTAAAACGAAATTTCGATAATAAGATTGTTTCCAAAGCCAATATTTCTCAGCACAATTCTTTCACCACAATATATCAATAAAAGCTTAAAAATGCCAGTAACGGTCTCACAATATCTAATCCTTAATGGTTATTAATCGAGCTTCCCTAAGCTTTTCGTTCAATGAGAGATTTACGATACCGTCTAATCTGCTTTTTATCCCGTTTCGCGATAAATTCACGATTAATATAACGCGCGGATCAGGACAACAAAAGGTTGGAGGTTCCGTCCAGGAGATTAACAGTGAATTCGTCAAACATCGACTTACCAACGAGAGCGGTCAGAGTCTCTCTCTCTCTCCAGCTGAGCGTGGCGTGTAAATCCACGTCCTGCCGACCGTTCGCAGCATCCGGTCCTCGTGCCCAGAATAATCTGTATTGTCCGAAACACGCTCCGCGCCGATTCACTCTCGCGAACGCGTCAACGGATGAGGACCATCCTATATTGCATGCCCACACTTGTTCGTACAAAGTTGAGAGTCACGGGAACGCACTGCTGGACCGCGTGAAAAGTGCGAGTTTAACTTTTCGGGGTCAATTCATGAACACTTCCGACTACACACATCCGCGACGAGAATTTAAATGGGACAGCACCTGAGTCCTCTTCAGGATGAGCCCAATATGTCCAGTAATACGTTGAACGATCCGATAAGAGAACGATAATCGAAGGAATGTTCATTTCTGGTCACTAATCGCTCATGTATGTTGTATACGAGAACCCGTTCGGAAACTGGGAACGATCAATCATTATGCGTGATGCGGTTATTAAAGGCGCGACTGAACACGAGATATCAAACCACGAGCGGACGATTCCTATGAATGATCGACAATCGGACGAAATTTGGCCGACATAGACGATATAATGGAGCCGATAACGTTCTAATGATTTCTCCAGTTCCATGAAAATTCTCATGCGTTCGCGAAAAAGTTCAGGAAAGTTTCACGACGGCGGGAAAGGGAGGAGAAGGAAAGAGAGAGTGATGAAGCACATCCGTTTCGATCATGGAACATTTCGATGAAATTTCGCTATGAGACGACCGTCGTCGTCGACGACGATAATAACGACGACGACGACGACGACGACGACGATGATGAGTACGAGGCAAGTTTCAGTTCGCGCGTGAGTATCAAACTTTTCGATGAGTAATAATCTCTATCGGTTGCTCGTGCCTCTGTATCCCGAAGATGAGTCCTCGAGAGCAAGATCCGTGATTCCGCGATCGCATCTGGGAGAACATCGCGCTACCGATTTACCTCGGTATTTGATCCCGGCACGTTCATTTGCGCACGATTACCGACTACGTGCATATGCGACTCTCTCGTAATCACTAATTTTCCGACGATTCGCGATTAAATCGCCGAGGACACTCTCGACTATCTCACATCGTTTCGATATCTATCGGTGATCGAAAGTGAGTCCAATATCTAACACTGTGAGAGAACACAATTGATACGTCGGATTTACGCAAACGAAAAATATCTACACGCGGATAATCCTGGGTTCATGGCTATCACTTGACTATTTGGCGAGTTGAACGAAGGATTCGTCGAAGAATCTGTAGAATAAAATTTATCCGCTTCGGAGGATGATTTCCCATCGGTGACGAGGAGTCGCCGTTGAAGAATAATGTCGTGACGTACCGGGAGTCACGCGCAGGTAGCACGTGACGCGCGACATTGTCGTGACGGCGAGAGAGAGAGACAAGGGAGACGTACAGTCCACGTTACCCTTAGGCACGCGGGGCGCCCGACGTGACGCTCTGGTCGGGTCTGTGTACCGGGGTGCTACTGGGGATAGCCGTATGCTTGTTTTTGCAGAGCTACGGGGCGAGAGAGTGAGACTGGGAGCATAGTGGGAGATACAGGGTGAGAGAGGGTCGCGAGCGGGAGAGAGAAGACGAAGAGGATGAGAGGGAGGAACGGACTGGTTGAAGCGAGACAGGTAATTCAGTGAAGTGGATGAACGAAGACGGCAGTAATAGCGAAGCGGAAGAGCACGAGAGGGTTGACAGGGGATGAAGCAAGAGAGAACAGATGGAACGGAAGAAAGAGGGAGAAAGAGAGGAAACCAACCCCCTGTCGGGTGGACTCGGCTGGCCTCGACGACGAGCGACGTCGCGACGGCGCAGCGCAGTCACCACCACTACCATCCCTCTCTACATTCTCTCCCTCCCGTCGCGAGATGGGCGACTCTCCACGCCACCATCCACCTCACGCTGCTTGCCAACCCCGTACCCCGCACCTTTTCCAGGGCCACGGATCGATCTCGACGTCCGTCCGTGTATCCGTACGTACATCCGTCCGTAAGTAAACTTGCCGCTATACGACCGCTATGCTAGTGTATACTCGCGATCAGTCAAGATCACGTATGTACGAGTGTCTACATACGCGTGGAAGCCTCGTTCTCAGGAATGCGTGTCAAATTTGCGACATCGAGTCGACAGAATCGTGGATCTCTCTGAAAATCTTATTCAGAGACAAAGTGCGCTCGCGATTGTACGACGATCGAGAGAAAAGTTACGTATCCCTTAAATCGTGTATAGTCATATGAGTGATCATTGCTAAGCGCGTGTCCAATTCGTAACATGGACCTGATCGAGAGGTAGATCGTAAAACTAGTTTAATCTGTCTCGCGAATTTTTTTTCAGTACTTTGAGTACCTCGTTATGCGGTGATTAACGAGATTCCGGGAGAATGGCTAAGCCGCCAAGTTAACTTGAAAAGTTAACGAACATTATTTCGAATGATACGACTACAATTGCAAGTTACAGCGAGAACACGTATGCTCGTTCGCAAAGTTCATCTTCGTATGTTTGATTCTCAACAATTCGCACAGTAGTATATCGCAAGGAGCCTCGTGTCGGTGTGAACTTACACAACTGCCATATGCGCGTTTATCTGCTGACATTTCGTTTTAGTGGCGTGCACTAAACTAGCTCGCACACGCACGTTGAATTCGTAGCTTGTAGACTTGCAATTTCTCATGACAAAACTATATTGCTAGTAAGATCGGATGTTTATTTTACTATTAAGAGAAACGGTTTTTCACTTTGCAAAGTGATAAACGAGTCAGTGCGAATAGCTTCCTTTCTCGAGCTTGCAATAGCAATCTATTACGCGAAAAACTGATAAATTCGGCACAAGATAAAATACCCAACTTGAAAAGACTATATAATGTAAAAAAAATTTTTTTTGAGATGGCTACTGTCAAATGAAGACAGATTGTACCAACGTGAATTATTTCACGCCAAAGATATATATATATATATATATATGCTATATATACGTACAGTAATAATTCTTAACTTTGTATTTATCTTGCAACTTATTTTTGAAAATTTTAAGTTGAATGAGATATTCAAAATAAAGTTTCAAATTTAAGATGTAAACGGTTTATAGTAATATATTGATAAAAAATTGAAATGAATGAAATATAGGTTAGACAATTATTTATATGTAATCACACATTAAGATAGTGTACAATTTTTATCTAATATTTCGAAACAATAGATATATATTATTTAGACGATAATATAAAATAAAATTCAATAAACTATGTAGGCTATGTATAAAAAGATTAGGATAAACTTGACGCATTATAGAATAAATAATCCCACAATAACATATTTCTTATTAAATAAATTAATTGGTACACATAGTTCCTATTTTTTCTTTCTTTTGAATTTAAAAGCATTTTCATTTTATTTATTTATACTAATAATATTATAAATATATTTAAAAAATCTTTAAATATTACAATTTTCTTGCTCCAATTTTTACAACATTTAATCCTGAACAAAATAGGAAGTTTAAAGTAAGCCTCAAATTCTAGTAAAAAATATTGGTAAAGAAAAAAATTATGTATTCAAATATTAATAATTTTTTTCTACTTTAGACTTTATAAAAACTAATTTATTATCATTCCATATATATAGTTGTAATACTACACATAACTATCTTCTTTTAATCAGCGACGGTTTGTGAAACATGCATTAAAAAATTAAATTTAAAAACTTCAAATTGAAAAACAGCAGTATTTATTATATTTATTACATCAATTATATTAATTTTATTCTATTTCTCTTTTCTCTGATTTTTTTTATTTTTTGAATTAAAAAATTAATTATTTATATATTAATTATTTATAATGCATTTAATACTAAATCCATTAATATCAATATACCTTTTCATAGTGTACACAACTTAACTTTTGTAAAACTTTTGTAAAACTTTTGCTTTATATACAAGAAATAATGAATTCTAGGATTAAATATTTATATTTTAATCCTAATCTGTTTTAGCTTATTCATTTTAAAGCAACAAATCTACGAAATATTATGTTCGTCTGTAATATATTTCTATGTTATACTTATTCATTAATATTTAATTAAATATACATACTCATTATATTTAATACAATGTTCTTTTTTCATAAATTCGTTACTTCTCTCTCTCTCTCTCTCTCTCTCTCTCAATATAAAATAAAAGATAATTTAAAACTCACAGGAACGATGCGCAGCAGCAGAGTTATGAACTACGTTGCAAACTACGTTGTACTGTAAAATACAAATATATTCAAGTTATTAAAACGCTCGAGCTAATTAATGTTCTTTTCTTATTTATTTTAGGTATTAAATTTTTTATTCATCTTCGAATAAATATTTAATAACGTAATTACATAATTTATATAAAAAATTTTTTTCTTTTTTCCTTATATTTTAAATACAATCCTCTACAATGCTTTATGAATAAAAATTTAATTCCTATTTAAATCATTCGAATAATTTATTTCTTTAGAAACAATCTACATATAGAAATAAATATCGTAAATAATAATATACGTAAAAGATAAATAATACACTCACCCCATGGTTGCTCCGCTGTTGCCCGATGCCTCCCAAGTCTCCTCCTCCTCTCAGATTTAATGACTGTAGTTAACACTTGCGAAAATATAATTATCGTAGTCGCGGAAGACACTTTGTGCGGCATTCCGGAAGTGATTGTGACAATACGATGATCGCGCGAGACTTTGTACGGCACTCCCGAAACGGCTGTAACAATACGACGATCGCGCGATATTTTATACGGCACTCCCGATCGCGCGTGCTTCGGTACTTAGTTTCCGCTTTGGAATAAATCTTTCACGTATCTCTAGAGTCCTCCCACGTCAAAGTGTACTCGGAAAAATATTATCTGCAAACAGATATAATATTGATAAACTTCAAGAAATGAACAATGAGTGCCGCGTATCAATTCATCCGCTATTATGGAATATATTTAACTATATTCCATAAAATATATTCATATATTCGTATATTACATACACTCTGACTTTTCAGTTTAAAAATAATAAGCAAACTACATTTAAATTGATGAGAAGCGCGATGTAAAATGTATCCCAATGTGAGCAACATTAAAAAATCGTCATAAATAATAAAAATACCAAGCAATAATTTATAATCTTCGTTCTCTCTCGCTTCGATCTTCAATTTAAACGACATTAATATGAGATGTCGACAGTCGTTGCCTTGATGCAATTGCAAATTAAAATAGTTGATCGTAAGAATGTATTGATCATATGAATTGTTTGCAAGAAATCACATTTCGAGAAATAGTATGAAAAGTAATGTAATTGTGTGATACGTATAATGACTAACTTGTTTGAGTGTCGTTGCGCGAATGATAATATAACAACCTTGTATCATCACTATTCATCACACATCGTTGGCGTGACGATGTACGCCGTACATGAAAGGAAAACAATTATCAGGCGTCGTATCTCAAAACAGTCACCGTTATTACAAATGTTTAACATATTATGAAAATACTTTTTCTGTGTGTTCCAAGTTAATTTCAATTTCTCTCTCTCTCTCTCTCTCTCTCTCTCTCTCTCTCGTAACGTAATAAATAAATCCAACTGAAGAATTAGAGCTCTCTATTTCAATCTACAGAGCATTTATATAAATTAACCATTAATTATTTATAAATATAACACTATTATTTTTATTCACATTTTGATCGAAATGAACAAAACTGTGTGATTTTAATGAATTGAAAATTGAATAATTTTAATCAATCAAATAAACCAAATTAGATCCTTGCGAAAAATATCGCGACTTAATTTGTTTTTTTCGTTCATTAAAAAATTATAGAATTTCACTATTTTCGAGGTATAAGAAAAATAATTAATTTCCATAAATATTTCGTCGATCGAAATAAAGGTAAATTTCATTTCTTAAATGAACATTAAATAATTTAATACGTCCATATATCGAATTTGCAAAAAGATAATTTCATATAAATATTCTGTCCTATTAATATGCGACATCAGAAACATGCGACATCAGAAATATTTAAAAGAAATATTGATTGATACTTTTTTTGTAAAATCAGAATTAATGTTTTATAAATTTGTTATTAATTTTCAAGTCAGGTTTTTCACGTAAACATAAATATTCTCTTTTTAAATCATGTCTGAAACATATTAAAGTAATACGGAATTTTTTCCAATTCGATATTCGATACTAGATTAAAAAATGATTAATATATATGTACCATCTCGTTGTAAGGATCGAAACTAAAGCATGAGAGAAATAGACTCAAGCTGTATTTCAAGACAAACTCCATCTCGGTGTTCCTCAGTTGAATTACAAATATGACATTACGAATATCAAATTGACTCTCAAGATCCATTTATTATCTTGTCTCAAGAGACTAAGCCAAGTTCTTCAACAGAAACGCGGCTACAAATACAAATTTTATCAACTGTAATTGTAACTTCTTCAAC